GACCACCGGTCTTGTAGCAGTCGAGAAGGTCGAGGAAAAGTCAACGGTGACCCGTTGCTTCTGCAAATACCCTCTCAAGTTCATCATACCCAAAAAGGTCTCATCTTTACCATCCACGAACTCCTTTTGATGATTACTATTCTTTCAATTTCTTCGTCAGCAATTCTCAATTTTGTAGGTTGGTTGCTCCTCCAAGACTGATGCTGTTTGGATCTACACCCTCTCCTATGGCGGCGGAATTGTCTCGGTCAGTGGAATTTTTTTTGTAAATTTTGGAGATGAAATGGGGTTTTTTTTTTTTGGGGGTGCAGAAGCTGTGTTGGTTGTTAATTTTGGTTTTGTTGATTTATGATGGTGTTGTGAATGTAGGGGGATTGCATATCGGTTGGGTTGTCAGTTGGGGATGGTTGTACTGCGGCAATGACGACTCAGGCTTCTACCAAGGTTTGATCTTTTTGGTCATTTTCGAATGCTATTTTAATGAGGTTGAATAAATTGTTGTTTCGAAAGGGAAAAAAATTTGAATATGCACTGAACTTTTCCTTAGCAAAAATGACAGCATATCTAGTTAAATACAACAGCCTTGGTTGTATTTGCTTTTCCTTAGCAAATGATGTTTGTATGTACAATTACGAGTACAAGTCTAGCAAGTATTCCAATATGCACTTGCTGTGTTATTTATTTGTTTGCACTCCGTGTGTGCGTATGTGCATGCATGCCTATGCTTTGTGTATGCGTGTGTGCAGAGTTTGGTAAAATGAGTCTTTGTTGAAAACTAGTCGGTGAGAGTTCAAATGACCTTTTCGTTGATGAATCATGCAAATGGATGCAAATATTGATGATTGTAAGTATACATATAAGTCGGTGAAGCGTGCAGGAGAGATGCTTCTTTGATCTTAGTATCGAGATGCTTCTTTGATCTTAGTATCATGAGAAGAGGTTCTTCCCCTGATTTAATTGAGATCGTCAGGCAAGCATTATCCCAAAGCTAATGCACAAATTGTGGTCCAAAATCATGAACATCGAGTAATCTTATCACTTATGCTAATATGGAATACATCATACCCCACTTGGATAGTGGGGTTAGGGTGTAGGAGTGGTCAACTCTTATCGTGGGTTTGGATAAAAAGGGGTAGAGGAGGGGAATGGTTGAAGCAGACCCAAGGGGATGGGATGGAGATGGAGTGGATGGAATGAGTTTATATGTGTTTGGATAGACAAGAAGCAGAAAAGAGGGTATGTTATAATTTGTGTTTGCTTAGCGTAGAGAAAAGAAAGGGAAGGGATACTACATGACCAATATGTCCTTTGAAGAATTAATACGCATCTAATTTCTTTATTTTCTCTAAGGACAATAATGGAATATTGGAAAAGCCTCACTTAAGTTTCAATCTCTCCCCTCCCAATCCGTCCACTTTATGAGGGTTAAGAAAGTGAGGAAATTTGCCTATTTCTAAGTGCGGAGGTTAGAACGTCTTATTGATTAGTTAATATGTGATTGTTTGGTTTGCTTGCTAGACTTGAACTTATAGCTTACAATTACAACGATTTTTTGTCATCCACTGAAAATTAATTTTTTGATTGCTTGTTGTTCGGCCTTCCTTACACTTTTGACTTGCATAATTAGGGGCTTGGTTCATCTGAACTATTTATCTGATTTTGCAAAAGCAATTATTTTACACAGGTATACAAGTCTGTTGGTTCAAAGTGCTCAGAGCAAATTTTAGAGGTACTATTGTTTCTGAACTTGTATAAAATAGCCAATAATTTGAATTCCTCGATATACATATAAAAAGAAGTAGAATAGATCAAGATTTTGATAAAAGACAGAGTTTCATCATGTTTCTTTTATTTAATTTTCACGATAAAGGAATCAAAAACAGCTTTAAGTTTATTTTGTGCAGTAGGCTGGAATTGGAAGAGATGCACTTTTGGCTTTTATTCCAGACCCTGTTACATGCTATTCAACTGCTAGATACTCTCAGAAGCAAGTATTTAGAGTCTTTCCTGAATCAAATTTGGTTGTTGTGGATTGGGTTACTAGTGGGCGTCATGAGAGTGGAGAAAAATGGGATTTTGAATCCTACAAGAGTATCAATCACATCTACTTGAAAGATGATGACCCTCTATTTATCGACTCGGTAATGTTCTCCCTTTCTTGTATTTATTGGGTTTTCCTATTTCTTCATGATGATGATGATGATGATTTAATACCTGATTCCACTTTACTTGTAAACCAGGTCCTATTAGATCAAATGTCTGGTAAAAGCATTAGCGACCGCATGCAGGACTACCAGGCTATTGCAATGGTTATAATCTTAGGGTAAGTTCTGCCTGGGACTTGCTATTTAGATGGCTCTCAAAAATAAGAAAGGGTCATATCATATATATCATGCTCTTAAATAAGAAAGGGTCATATCATATATATCATGCTCTTAACCTACTTAATATTAATCTAGACTATGAGTATGGATTGGTAGTATGGCTAATGATATCGAGTAAATCCCTTCAAAGTGATGAATACAGAATGCAAAGGCAGGATGAAGTCTTACAAATTTGTTTATCCATCATGTTTACCTATTGGTTTTTTATTAAGAAACCAAAAAACATAAACATATATTCTCTTGACCTTAACTGGCCCAAAATAAAGTTTCCGTTGTTCAATTGGGTCGCTAAAATTGACTGTTTCTCTTTGAATATTCTGTGAAATCTTCTACTACTTCCACAAATATTCATAAACTAAAGGTGCTAATTACTTCATTTCATACTTCTCAAGGCCCAAGTTAAAGCACATCCAGGATCTATTACGAGCTGAAGTGAAACAAATGATGTCAGGAAAATTTCACTCGCCTACTGTCAACCAACGGTACCAAATGACTACCGAATCTAAACATGTTCAGTCAAAACCAGCCTTGCTTGCTTCTTGTAGTTCCTTCGGACCAAAGGTATGTGTCTCCGTGCTCATGAAGACAGGTAATTTTATTCCTGCCCATGGTTGGTGCATCCATATTGTTATGATGGTCTGTCTATGACTGTCGAGATCTAAATCTAGGTGAGACAAGTGGAAAATGCTCATTGTACTACTGACATCATACTATTTCATTGGCGTATTGCAAATCTTAGGGTACACAGCACTAATAGACAAGTGAGTGCAGTCATGATATGTCAGATGTCAACCTCTCCTTTCTTCCTATACAATATTCTTCAGAGGACCCTCTGTAGGGATTTTCTTTTTCCATAGAAAATATTATGAGATTTTTGTATTATATTTAGCATTACTACATAAATAAGGGTTCTGAATGAAGCTTTTCTTTTATATGGATCAGGGAATAGGCGTGGTGGTTAGAATTGCTGCAACGACGACCGAATCAATATACGTGTTCTTGAGGCATAACTTGGCGAGCTTGGAGCCCTTCCTCGGTGCACAACCATACCGATAACATCAAATACTGCAGATTACTACGAGCAGGAAAGATTTGAAGCACGAAGCCCTTTCTTTTCTCCTGCCTTTTTAATTTCTTCATGTACCCTGTGCAAGTCTTGAAAATTTCTCCACTCTGAGAATCTGAAGAATTTAGTTTATCTAAAAATTTAGTTTCATGTTGTTCCTTGTCTGTCTGCTTTTTACGATTATTTCTCTAGCTCAACCTGTAATTTGTTCACAGTTCACATTGACCATTATTTACAGCTGGTAATTGTATTATTACTGAAATTGAATTTGAACTGCAAATAGACTGCAGAAACAAGGAACATGCGCGTGTAAATGCACTCTCCTTTGCTGAGACATGCACACTTCGTGATGCAAGTTTTAGTTCTTCAACTGAAACTCTTCATTTTTTAGTATAGATCATATACGTTAAGGAACATGATTTCCCTTGAGTGATAAGTGAAAATAAGAGTTGTGGATTATAATTTAAACTCTAATGTGTCCTCGGAGGTTAAATGTTCTTCTCGCAGATTGAAAACTAAGCTATTTTACAAGACTAGATTTGAACATGAATTGCTCTGATATATCTTAATTCAGGCTTATTATATCAGCTCCCGTGATATGGGGCAATGTTTAATTTGAGCCCAAAGTACGCATCTTCGACTGAAAATTTCATATTTTATGTGAAAATTGCAAATGACACCTTAAGGTTAAGAAATTTGCACCTTTTATTATTTTTTTAAATTTTAGTTTTGGATATACCCTGCAAGAGGAGATCAAACATCTCCATCAAAATAATAAAAACCCAATAAAAGCACCCACCTAAGTGGGACAAGATAAAATTAGTTGGTGAAGATAGATCTGGCCCCTAAAGTTCTGGTGCTTGATTGCAATAAAACTATGATAAAGATAACTATAATTAATTGAAAAGATTGGTGCGGTCCTTATATATGAAAAATTCTTTAATGACCCAAAATATGGGATCAATAGGGGGGACAAGTGAGGTGTCCCCCTCCTATTGGATAATGAGTTGACCATCATTAATGATGGTCATGTCCCCCTCCTATTGGATAATGAGTTGACCATCATTAATGATGGTCAACTCATTATCCAATAGGAGGGAGACACCTCACTTGTCCCCCCTATTGGTCTCATATTTTGGGTCCATGTAGCAAAGCTCTATTTTATTTTATTTGCATAACTGAGTTTGAGTTGGTACGGGGCTCTGAGTCCGATGACGAGGTCACGGACCGTCAACGAGATTTGACGCCGTCAAGCCGACAATAACGGACTCCTTCCGTGACTCGCGTCACTTGTACTGTTCTGCACGTGTTCTTCACGTGCCATTTCATTACAAAATACTTTTTTTTATCGTCTCGCTAATAACTAATTCGGTTTGTATTCTCAATTTTGGCGCTCTTTTTGTTTGTGTGCAAGTAATTCATGGTTCCCGACTTCATTAGTTTAAAACTATAATTTTTAAATTTTTTGTAAACCTTGATAACACAAGTTTCCTGCAAGTTTTGTGGAAACTCCCCAAGTTTCGGGGGGTTTCTGTAAATAGATTTATATAACGCAGAGCTACGGATTATAAAAAATGTAAAATCTATTCTTATGTACTTATAAGAGGGCCTAAAGATTTACTATTTATACCACAGTGAATCACTGAATCACTGTAGCATAAACAGAATACTGTAGCATTAAAAACACTACAGTAATTATAAAATTACCGTGGCATTTAAAAAAGGATTGCTGTAGTGGAAAAAAAGAGGGTCATACTTTACACGAGGTGCACACTATTTTAAGCGAGAGACGTTAAGGTGGTGTTTGTTTCACCAAAAAATTTGGCATTTGGTATGGATACAAGTTTTAGGATTAAAAAGTGAGATTTTTTGTATTTTGGGATTCCTTGTTTGTTTTAAGAAATTTTTTAGAACATTGAATCCCAAAAGTGCAAAAAAAACCCAAATTTTAGAATTTGTCAAACCCTCTCAATTGGAGAGGATTTTGACAAATTCCATAAATGGGTGTGCTTACCTCTCAATTGAAGAGAATTTGACAAATTCCAATTTTATCTTTTTGTGGGAGGTAAGCTCACCAAGATAGCATATTCAACATATTACAAAATTTTGACATTTGGTAATTTTACAATTTGAGCTTAAAACAAACAAAATATTATAAATTGTAGTATTTCAAATTCTAAAATATTAATGAAACAAACAATATTTTAAAAATCTCAACTCATAACAAAACACCTATGAATTTTAAATCCCATAGTGAAATCTATTTCCTAAAATTATAGGATTTGAAACAAACAACCCCCCAAGTGCAAATTACGTTTTCCCCAAGGGTATTTACGCGAAAAATCCGACACCCGGTACAAATCCTTTGAAATCTTTGCCATCAGCAGTTTCCCCTCGAGAAAAATGAAAGAGATCGTTATCGGATCCGAGATCGGGAGGAGAGAGGGATCTTCGCCGGCGACGGAGAAGGCGGCGTCTCCGTCTCCTCCGGACACGCTGGTGGAGCGAATGAAGGACTTCGGCCAGCAGGACGCTTTTGCCTATTGGGATGAGCTCTCCCCTGAAGAGCGCGATCTCCTCGTTAAGGACATTCAGGTAATTCTCACTTCATTCGACAAATATCATTATTATTTTTAATGTAATTTTGTTGAATTTAGGTTAAATTTAGTTGAATGACAATCTTACAATTGAATTTTGATGTAGAGTAGTGTCTTTATAGTTTAATTCCTGCTATTATAGGGGAAAAGATTATTTCGTCACATCATTTAATGTATTGAGTAAATTTTGATTTTTGTAACATCTTGCTTCGTTTTACTATCTTTAATAGATAACCACTTGTATTTCTCGTACCTCAGAGTTTGGATCTTCCGAGAATGGATCGGATAATTCGTTGTTCACTTGGATCTCAAGGTTTGCTTTCCTGCGTAATTAAGATGAATAAGCATTGGGCTGCATTTTATAGCAGTGAAGTGTGTATACTTATCTTGCGTCTCTGAATGTGTGGATGAAATTAGGCCTTCCGTTGCCTGCGATTGAACCGGTGCCGGAGTCTTGTGTCTCGACTGTGGAAGCAAGAACTCTTGAAGATAGAGAGAGGTGGTGGAAGAGAGGGCTGAAGGCTATCTCAGAAGGCAAGTTAGCGGTTGTGCTTTTGTCTGGCGGACAGGTAACTTATTCCTTATAGCGTCTTCGAGACTATGCAAGTTTCAGTTTATGAGGTCGATTTAATTCTGAATTGACTAAAGGAAGCAAATAATGCTTTGGTGTTATACTTCCATTATGCAGCTGCTTTGTTTATCAGACTAAATCGAAACGCTAGATTCTTTTTCATATGGATTTCTTTTAGACTAAATTGCATTTCAACTACTACTTTTTCACTTGGGATAGAATGTTTGTGTTGATGGCTCTTCTTACTTGTGGAATTTGACCTAGGGAACCCGGCTTGGAAGTTCAGATCCTAAGGGCTGTTTCAGTAAGTAATACTTCTTCACGTCTATATCATACGGAAAGTATGTTACATTGAAGAACATGTGTATCAAAATGTTTTTCTTTATATGTTTATATCTTTTATTTGTAGAAACAACAATGCCATGTAGTTCGTCTTTGCATTCTGTGCAGAAGTTTAAACTTATAATTTTGTATCCTACAAATATGATACGGTTTTCCTTTCCGAAAATGGTCATTAGAACTGCCTTCTGATACTCTGAATGACATTCAAGAAAGATTCAAAGACTCCTAACTACAATGAGCCACATTCATGTCATTATTTTCAAGAAATTATATATAGATAAAAGCCTTCACCTGTTCACCAGCATAACAGTAGATTCTATCGTCAATGGATGTGAGTGTAACATGTTATGTAGTTTGAATGGATTGGTTAAAGTTCTGATACCTGTCAATTCTTCTTTACCTAATAATATGCTAGAGGTACAAGGTACTAAATCCTGTTAAGCATCTTTTCTTTTTTATGAGTCTCTTGTTTATCTAAATTTTTTTTGTCTCATGCATCAGATATTGGTCTTCCATCTGGAAAGTCTCTTTTCCAACTTCAAGCTGAACGAATTTTATGTGTTCAAAGACTTGCAGCTCAATTTACTGATGGTAAAGTCTCTGAATTACTTGACTGTTGAATGATATCTGTCAGGTTGATGACAAGCATATTTATCTGTCAGCTGCGCTTTCACCAATTCATTGGTACATAATGACCAGCCCATTTACCGATGATGCCACCCGCAAGTTTTTTGAAAGTCACAAGTACTTTGGCTTGGAGGCAGATCAAGTAAAGAAATGACCTTGCCCTCCTTTTTGCAATCTACAATTATCTTCAGCTGATTCTCTTATCCTCTTTGTTGTAGGTCACCTTTTTCCAACAAGGCACCATTCCTTGTATCTCTAGGGATGGTAGATTTATTATGGAGACTCCATACAAGGTATAAACTCCTCTTTCTTATTCAAATAAATCTTAAATCTCATATGCTGCTTTTGAAATGCAATGTGATTTTAAGTCAACAATCCTGCCTTTGTTTTTCTTTGCTCATAGCACACATGTTAGGTTTCTTATTGGAGTTCTCCACTTGTGATAGAATGAACCTTATTTTTTTATCAGGTGGCAAAAGCTCCTGATGGAAATGGAGGATTGTATTCTGGTATGAACTTAAGATATTTGGTGTTTTACAGAAATCAAATGCAATATCTACTTGTTTTCTTACCTTTCTTCATTTAATACTTGTGAGTTAACAAAAATCCTTTATGCTTTTATTCTTTCACAGCTCTGAAATCTTCAAAGTTACTGGAAGATATGGCTATGAGAGGTGTTAGATACGTGGACTGTTATGGAGTTGATAATGTACTGGTAAGATTTTGACTGGTCGGAAATTAGCGAACTGGATTTACATTTAATTTGCATCTAATCCCCTGGGGGCAGGTCCGTGTCGCAGACCCAACATTCCTCGGATATTTTATTGATAAAGGTGTCTCTGCAGCAGCAAAAGTTGTCAGGAAGGTAATAAACACCTGCAAATATAAAAATAGCTCGGTTCTTGGGGTGCAATTTTAAAATTTTATTTTTGGGTGTGATACAGACTGAAAAAGATGCATACATGTAGATTGTCATTGGAGCTCTTTTCCCGCTGTAGATATCACACAGACACATATTACGCACACAAAAAATCTCTTTTCCCGCTGTAGATATCACACAGACACATATTACGCACACAAAAAATCTGTAGATTGTGATAGAAGCCATCTTGCTGAATGTTCACTGTAGATGCAATATTTGTATATTAAAGATTGGTGATGAAACGCTACTCTTGCTCTATGATCTTGCTACTAGTATGATATTTGAAGCAGCTTCCATGAGATTATTTTCTGTCTAAATTTTCCTTGTATCTGCAGAAAGTTATTTTGAAGTAAGGCAATCGTTGTTAGATAACCTTATTTACCTTTTGAGTTTCTGTTTTTGGAAAGCCTTGAAGTTTCCTTTACGTGAATGTGTAGATTGATCTCAGTATTTCTACCATGAAACTTTAATCTTGTTGCTGTGGACTATGGATTCAGGCGTATCCACAAGAAAAGGTTGGAGTGTTTGTCCAACGAGGGAGAGGTGGGCCTCTTACTGTTGTTGAGTACAGCGAAATGGATCCATCAGTTTCTAGTGAGATCAATCAGATAACAGGGCGACTTCGATATTGTTGGAGCAATGTAATTTTTCTGATCTCTAATATAATGAGCTTACAATTTCTTTGTTGCTTTATTACTTAAATGCTTTCATTTGAGTTTCTTGGTAAAATTTTGCAGTGAGATTCTTTGAGAATTTTTGTAGAAAAAATTCAATATGGTAACTAACATAGAACTGTACAATCAACTAAACGTGGAAAAATTTTAAGCTTGAGAGAAAAAAAATATCCTCTAGTAGGGAAACATGAAAACTAGTTCTTTTTTCTTGGATCAATGAAGAGCCCATTTGCATCATTACGGCAAACAATGTAAATTAGTTCCAGGTGTTTCAAGATGGAACCCAAGTTCATGTCCTTGTGAGACAAAATCAAGTTAGTTAACATTCATCGTTCTCCTGGATTCTCCATCCTTGCTCAATTGTTTTGAAGTATTTGAACTATGGAGTATAGATTCTCTCTTAACTGTGTGTACTATTTGGTTAGAATATGACTAATTTGCTAGATTTGATCTGTGTATCTTACTTAGCATTTATTAATGTCATGGACCTTTCTTTCTTCTTCTTTAAAAGCTAGACCTTTACGGAAGCTTACATGTTTGCTTATGTATGCTTGGAATTCCTTATGAACTTTTGTGTGCTCATGATAATTTATCCATATTGAGGCCTTATATTAGCCATACGTTTGCAGGTGTGCTTACATATGTTCACTTTGGATTTTCTGAATCAAGTAGCTAATGGTCTCGAAAAGGACAGTATGTAAGTAATTCTCATACTACATTTTTTACACTACCACTTCACTTATCACATAATACCACATATCACTTAAATAGGATCAAACTTTGTGTTGTCTTGTACATATAAAAGATTCAATGTATAGCTTTGATTTAGTTCTTGGTTTAGTATGAACTAAAGAATAAAACCATTCATATCTCCATATATTAAAATGTTTGGAACAAGTCCACATATCATAAGATTGAACTTTGAACATAATAATTATTATTATGGGAGTTGGATACATGAGTTATTCTGTTATCTCCTGATCTTCATTAGTTTAGTTTGGTCTCAGCCGGATACATAGAGATCCAATAGACTAGGTAACTTGGCATTCTACTTCAGCAGAAGAGCTGCACAAAGGCATTTGACTTGTTCCATGAGATGTGAAACATAGAGATCCAATAGACTAGGTAACTTGGCATTCTACTTCAGCAGAAGAGCTGCACATAGGTATTTGACTTGTTCCATGAGATGTGAAAACATCGTAATGTGGGAATTGATTTTGAATCATTATCATAAACTGTATTGTTGGCAATAGAGAGTTTACACTATCAACATCTCAATCAATTAGCCGTTAGGAGAAATTATAGTGTGGCTTGAATTGCTGATTGTTCTTAAAGTACTCAGATTGTAAATGTGAAAATTTTAATTTGTAGATAATGAACTAGGTCTCCATCTTAATCTTTACATCTTAATTTGATACAAAGTGATTTTCCATCTGAATTAGCGGCATATTCCATGTGGCATGGTTCAAAATAGTTTATGACAATTCTAGTTAATTTGCTGAAGGTAATTTTTTTTCATTGTTCTGATTTTGTCATTAACTTGTAGGTGTACTTTCTTATTTGATGTGCTTAACATTTGTATATGTCATTTGGATTCAGTTGACTTGTAGATCAGATATAAACAACTATACATAATAGTGTTGTAATTTTTTTTCCACATATACGCTTGCTTTGATGACAATTTTATTTGTTTGTAGCCTCCAATAGTATTAATGAGTTCTCTAGTTAATCCAAACAAGTTATATTTTACGTGTTTAACATATGAATTTGAATGCAGTTATCATCTAGCTGAAAAGAAGATTCCTTCTGTCACTGATTATACAATGGGCTTAAAGCTTGAGCAGTTTATATTTGATGCCTTTGCATATTCTCCATCCACAGCTCTTTTTGAGGTTCATTTCTTCAAACTGCTACTGCATTATAGCTATTTTTATCCCTTAATAGTGCAGGATATATTTTATCCTGTTCTTCTGCATTCACTAATATCTCTATTACTCCCAAAAAGAGGATGGATAAAGTAAATGATGAAGAAAAAACAAATTGCTGGAAACTTTTCTGTCATTGATGCATTCTGAAATTTAAAACAACAGGTCTTGCGGGAGGAGGAGTTTGCACCAGTTAAGAACGCAAATGGAGCGAGTTATGACACTCCTGATAGCGCTCGGCTAATGCTTCTTCGCCTTCATAGTCGGTGGGTTGTTGCTGCTGGTGGCTTCTTGACACATTCTGTGCCATTATATTTAACAGGTGATCTTCCTGTCCATGATATTCCATATTCGCGACTTTTCCTTGAATAAATATGTTGATGCCAGTTACTTTAGCTTGTTATTTTGAAGAATAACTTGGGTCTAACCTTCTCAAAATTGATGCATGTAAGAGTGACCCAAAAGATGCATATTCTCTTAGGAAGTATAAACAAAAATGATGCAACAGTCTTAGGTTCTCGCAGAATCCTCACACTCCCTCTCCATGTTTAATGACCTCTTAGCCCCTAGAAATATCATCATCAGCCAATCATTACTCCGCAGTTATCAAAAACAAAGTGATGGAACTTATAGAACTTGTATCAGATGTGTTATTCGAGGATTCGATTTAAGATCATCCCTTGCACAATTATCTGCCAGTTAATTCAAACAACATAATTGATCTTGATAGTACAACAATACCATTTAAATTTCAAACCGAGTACTGGCAAAATTTTTGGAGGTCTATTACAGATCATTTAGTGAAATATCTGGTTCAGAAGCATCCGTAATTATATGCACACTCTTCTATGATGTAACTCCTTAGATTATGATCACCTGTGCTATTTCTATCTATATGGTCAATCATCACTTTAAAATACTCACACCTTTACTCCTTGGATACTGGTTTCAAAGTTCAGTTGTGCAGTGTTTCATACTTATTAGATCCCAAGGAAGGTCAAGACATGGCTATTTGTATATGCTTACAAACACAAAATGTGTACTGACGGCAACAAGGAGAACGTAAGACACGGGACTAATAAGAATCTGCAACGCATGGAAAAATCTTATAGTACGCATCCTAGAAAATGATAAAGCAAGTCCGGCACGAAAAGGCCATCAGGATGTTAAGGAAAGGGTTTCACATATCAAAAAGAAGGGGGAAAACAAATTTGAAGGAACATGTATTATTCTGATTACTAGTCTAGACTGTAATCGCTTCACGAATCCTGAACTATCACTCATCACCATCTATTGGTTCATTTTGGTGTTGGAATCATTTGGAACCTTAGGTTAATGAATGTTCAATTATAGTACCACGTGAATAAAATAACATACAAGTATCAGATTCTGTACGAGTTTGGGTGGTGATTCTTCCCTCAAATATATGGGTTAGTTAGAAAGACAAATCTTAAGGATGATCGTAGGACGGTATGGACAGTAGTGTCCTTAGGTGGCTGTTGATGAGGTGACTGTCACCTCATCGTCATGGAGGAATCAGGTAACATGGAGTCTTCTTCCTAGGATAGAAAATCAGTTGCTAACAAAAGAAAAGTAAAACTTAATCATAGAGAAGGCTTGGGTTCTTCTTAACAATGAACATAAAACAAGCGCCTCCAGATTTTGAAACATAATTAGATAGTATTGGCATTTTACCACAGTTGGGACCTGTGCTGATAATAATCAACAATTTCAACCATCTACTTCAATCTAAGACAAATCTTGGTCTCAGGTGTGGAAATCTCCCCTCTTTGTTCTTATGGCGGAGAAAATCTCGAAGCCATATGCCGTGGAAGAACTTTTCATGCGCCAAGTGAAATAACCTTCTAGTTGGCATTGGCTTGATTGCTTGGAAATGTTTATTGATGCAAAATTCTATTTGTTCAACTGCTATATATCCATGAACCGGGTACAGTTTTTGTCATCTTTGTTCATTTACCATTATAACACATGCATGCAGTGCTTATTGTTATTTAATTTGTTTACTTACATGGATAGATGTATTTGAGAATGTATACTGTTCATAATAAAACAATAATCAAAATTTCCTTTCTTTCATTTACTTTTTTTTTTCTTCTAATTCGTATGCGTGTGCAACTTTTATTTGTGTTTAGTATGTCGTGAAAGCAAGATAAACAATGACAATAAATTTGTGATTCATCATAATGTAGGTCATGTTTTTACGTTGATGTTCTTTTTCCCCCCTAGCGAAGGTTGGAAGCAAGAGTTGTTGTATGTTAGCAAAGAATGAATTCTTTGATTGAACTTTGATTGTGCTTACTACACTAGATTTTCCCTCTACGTGCATGAAAGTTACCGTTCCACGAAGCTTGATCCGGATTGGGCCTGGTTACGATAACTGGATGTTAGGAAAGGTTTGGGCTGAGGATCAGCTCAATACGCTGGACTAGGGTCTAAGTAGTCGGCCAGCGGTCAAAGAGTTTTCAGGGACGGTAAATAGTGAAATCTAAAAATAACTTTTTACGGGGTCTGATGAGCGGGGAGGGACAAACAAATGGGAGACCAGCGGTCAAAGAGTGCACAATGATAGAGGTCTGAGCCAGGGGTGGGTAGATCGCAGCTTGCTTCCCTTTCTCCTGCAAAGGAGAGGGAGAGGGCCCAAAAAAGGGACGTGTCCTATTCCCTCCACCACCCCTCTTGGTTACTGATGGATCCAATGATCC